CTAAAAATTAAAAATAACTTATTAAATTAAATTTAAAATTAAATACTAACTCCAGCCCAGGCAAGATTTACCCATATTCTCTATCAAAACAAAAGAGTGGGTCCCCGCCACCAGAGAAAAGATGCTGTTTGTACCTGAATAATATTCCCTCCGAAAGTACCTCGAAGACCCTGTTGCTTGGGGTAGTAGTACTCATCATTGGAGAGATTCCATGGATCTTTCACTACTGGCTGAGACATGTTCTAAAGATAGATCATCAAATAAACCTTAGACTTCCCTTTTCTATTACCTTTCTTTGTTCTTCTAATTACCAAGCCCCTTTAAACAAACCTGCTGTGGTTCCTCCTTGATGACTCCCGTTTTCCCTAAGAGAATTCGACTCTTCTTCAGAGATGATTCTTTCTTACTCTCCTTGGAGGGGGAATTTGAAGTGGCCTCCTCTTTCTCATCAGGAATCTCTGTGGATAAACAAAAATGACTTTGGAACTGCTATTCCTGAAAATTCACATTTTCCACTAACAGCTTTGCAATTGCAAACTATACCTCTCATCCTACCCTAGACACTTTTAGTCCATGATTCACTCTAACAACTATATGCTTGACATTTTTTTTCCAATACTGGAAATTGAACCCAGAGGTGCTTTACCATCAAGTCTCACTAAGTCACCCAGGCTAGCCTCAAAGCTGTGGGACTCTTGCCTCAGCCTCCAAAGTGACCACATGCCTGACATTATCTTTTTTATTAGTACATGTCTGCAACACGTAATACATAATAATACATAATGAATGTTGACACATCTTTGTATCATATCTTATTCCTTTTTTCCCTCACCTCCCTCCATCTCAAGATCCCCTTTCCATTTGCAAAAGGTCTATCTCCCTGTTTCCTATTATCTTTTATTTTGCTCTTTAAATTATTTATACTTTGAGCCAGGTATGGTGGTGCACTCCTGTAATCCCAGCACTTGGGAGGCTGAGGCAGGAGGATCACTGTGAGTTCGAGGCCAGCCATGGCTTTGTAGTGGGTTCAAGGTGAGCCTGAACTGCATAGCGAGGCCCTGTCTCAAAAAAAGAAAGAAAAGAAAAAGGAAAAAGAGAAACCATATATTAAACTTTTGTGTCTGATTTATTTCACTTAACATTATCAAGGTGCATCCATCTTCCTACAAATGACCCAAATTTATCCTTCTTTTGGGCTGAGTAGTACTCCACTGGATACCACATTTTCTTTATCCATTCATCTGCTATGTATATATAAGCCACTTCTACTCTGACATCTTAAAGGTTCTACTTTCTAACATTCCTACATGAGTTTTTCCCTCAGCAATACACAAATACTAGAAACTGACAGCCACAATTCTGCTCTCTCAAAGTAGCACCTAGAAGTTTCTAATTTTGTCCTCCTCGAATCCTTCTGATTTCCTCCTGCCCCTTGACATCAGCAGCAAGCTGTCAAAGAGGGAAAAAGAGAGCCAGGGATGGGAGTGTAGCTTAGTAGTAGAATGCTTCCCTAGGCTGCTCAAAGCCCCAGGTTCAATCCCCAGTACCACCAAAAAAAATATAAAGAAAAAAGATGGAAAAAGAACACAGGCTCGCCGGGGATTTAGCTCAGTGGTTCCGCCGCCTGCCTCACAAGTGCAAGGACCGGAGTTCGATCCCCGGTACTAAAAAAAAAAAAAAAAAAAAAGGCCTGGCTGAACACACAAGTAAATAGGATAATTACAAGTAGTTTTAAGGACTCTGGACCAAAAGGTACAGAACATCAAGGGAGAAAATGGGGGAGATCTGACTGCCTGTGGGACTCAGGAAAAGGGTCTCTCAGGAACTCACAGAGCTGTGTGCCAAAGCAAGAAATTCCTGTAAACATAAATTATACTTCAAATTTTTTAAAGAAAAAAGAAGATCCCAGTGATTCTGTTGCTTTTGTGGGCGGGGGGGTGGTACTAGGGATTGAGCCTAGGGCCTTCGTACTGAGCTATATCCTCTGCCCTTCTTTTATTTTTTAAATTTATTATTTCTTTCCAGTACCAGGAATCAAACTCAGAACCTTTCACTTGCCAGGCAGGTGTGGTGCTTATTTTTTCAATTTAGAGACAGGGTCTCATTAAGTTGCTAAGTTGCCCAGGCTGGGCTCAAACTTGCAAGCCTTAGGCTCCCAGAGTGCTTGGATCACAGGTATGTGCCACCATGCCCAGGGCATTTCTTATTTTAACTTAAATACAGAGTCCTTTTAAATTCAAACACTCATACATACACACGTACACATGCATTCACATGGCCACACATTACACATGTATGTACATGTGCTCACTTCCTCACACGCTTATGCACAATGGCGTGCACAGATATATACACACACACTTGTCCATACACACAGACCAGCCCACACACACCACCACTTCTCTGCTCACCTGATCAGGAAGTGGACGCAGATGATACTCTCTGACTGGGGGCCCCGGCCCCCAGACACCACCGTGGCCTGGGTCTGGGTCCACAGGTAGCCACCACTCCGGGCCAGGAAGCGATACTGCCCTGTCACTGCCTGGCCCTTGCTCAGCACTGGGGAGGGGCAGAGAGGGGTCAGGGCCATGGAAGGGCACCTGGGTGGAGAAAGCTCTGGGCCTGGGGGTTAGGAATGTGGGGCCAGGGAGGAGAAGGTTCCGTGGGGCGTAGGGGAGGTGAGAGAACCCTGGGGGGGGGGGGACCGGATGGCAGCTGGCTCTGGCTGGGGAAATAAGTCACATACAGGTATGAATGCTCCTGCTGACTGCATCTGAGTCCAGGGCGTGGATGTACTCGTAGGCGGAGCAGCCGATCAGGTCATCTGGGCTGTAGCCGGCGACCTCTGCGATCCTAGGGTGCGACGGAGGGGTCCCGTCAGGGCTCAGGGCTGAGGTGGAGCACAGGAGGAGGAAGGGGCAGAGGACATGGGCACAGAGCCCCAAAATGAAGGACAGATTGTAAGAGAGGAAAGGAGAGAGTAAAATATAAAAAGTGTAGGGTGCTGAATTTTGGCCCCCAAAGAGGTCCACATCCTAACTGTTGAAATGTGTGAAGATGACGTCCGACAGGACAGAAAGGACTTTGCATGTATGACGAAGTTAAGATCTCGAGAGAGAATCCAGATTGATTTAGAGAGACAGAAAAAGAATGAAAGACAAAAAGACCTACAGACAATTCAGACCAGCAGACCCTGGAGACAAACGGCGTGGAAGGAGCAGGGACGGGGGTGGAGACTGGGCCTCTGGGCTCCGCCCACCTCTCGTCACAGTAGGTGAACTTCATGTCCAGGCTGTGGCGGGTCAGGAAGGCGCCCCGGCCCAGTGGGGGCTCCAGGTTGCCCGGGTGGGGGATGGCCTCGCAGATGAGCACCAGGCACTGCAGGGGGGGCTCGGAGCTGGGGTTCCCGGCCAGGGCCGGCTGACCTGAGGACTTGTAGGCCCTCATGTGTCCAGAGCAGTGCAGCACCTGGGGGAGGAGCGAGCGTGCGGGGCTTGCATCTGGGCCCAGGGTTGCCCAGGGGGCTGTGAAGGAGAAATCCCTGAAGGTCTCAGAGGGTCAGCTTGGGGTGCTCTGGGGATGCCCACATTCCAGCCCCTTGAGGACTCTGAGTTCAGAGGCCTGAGGACCCCCAGAGATCCAGCCGGAGAAAGGTTACAAGGACCCCTAGAGTCCATCCCCACAGCTTCCTAGATGCCCTAAGTTCCTCCTAGGCCCAGCCTGAGCGACCCAAAGGCTACTGGAGCAGGAAACAGACTCTCACACAGGGAGAACTTCCGGGGGCAGGCCCCGCCTAGACGGCCCCGCCCCCGGACGGCCCCGCCCCTCCGGGTCAGGCCCCGCCCACCTTCCAGGTGGCTGCCTTGAGGTTGAGGGTGCGCCCACGGCTGGTGAGGGTGCTCTTCATGCGCAAGGAGAAGCACCGCTGGGTGGGGGCCTCTGGCTTCTTCTTGGACAGGCCTGGAGGCACCGGGGTGGCAGCGGGTCACCAAGCAGCTCCACAGAGCCCAGTGCCCTCCAGCACCCGGCTGCTGCTAAAGGCTCCCCAGCTTCATCCCCAAAACTAGGACCGAGAGCCAGAGAGAGTCCTCTAGGGATAGGGTGCGACCCCTCAGACCTCAGGGCGGGACTTGTCAAAGTCTGAGGTTCTGCAGGAGGGGATATACTAAGGGAGGGGGTGAGCCTCCGTGGCCTCTGTAAAGTAGGGGCGCCGCCTCCGGGCACTTACTCGGCCTGGGGGTCAGGGCGTCCTGGAGCTCCTCTTGGTCACAGGGATGGACGAAATCAAATATACTGTGTCCGATGAGCTCCAGCTGAGGGGAGCAGGCAGGATAGGAGTGTTGGAGTCAGTCTCCCCTTTCCCCTGCTCAGCACTCCTGCCCCAGTTCACCAGCCTGGATTCCTCCACCAGTCCTCCCATTCCTTCATTCACTCATTCACTCAATCATTCATTCATTCATTCTCTGAGTCCTCTTCTAAACTGTAGGGACACATCAGTGATTACACAGACAATCCCTGCCTTGAAGAACTTACTGGCTAGTCAGGTGAGACAACAGTTAAGAACATCACAATGAATAACAAGGAGACAGACAACTAAAGCAGGGGTAAAGTGATGTAATAATAGGATTTGTTTAGAGAGAACAGCCCTGGACAGCTTTTTTGAGGAGGTGACACTTGAAAAAAATTGCTGAACAAAGCAAGGAGGTGGGCTTGTGCCTCCTCAGGGTAATAAGAGTGTTATTAAAAAAAAAAGAGGGGAGCAGCAAGTTCAAAGGCTGCACATTTGTTTCAGTTTAGGAAATGAGTTTGGTGTTGGGAGGAGGGGACACAGATGAAAGGGGGCTCACAGTGGCTCCCAACTCATTGATGGCAGAATGACATTTTGTTCCTCTAAAAGATCTTGTAGCTGGGTTTGAATCCGAGCTCTGCCACCTCCTATCTTTGGGCCCTCAGGACATTGACCTCTCTGAGTCCAAGATCTCACAGCAACAGAAAAACTGGTACCAGGAGTGGAACAGGGGAGCAGTGGTCAGCTCTGGAACCCATTTATGTAAAATAGGAAAAGGCATAGGAATTATTTTGGGGGGGGGGGAGGTACTGAGGATCAAACTTAGGACCTTGAGTTTGCAAGGCAGGCTCAGGTGCCACTGAGCTAAATCCCCAACCCCTGTTGCGGAATTCTTGAGGCATGATTAAGGGTTAATTAGAAGTAGTTCTGCTTGCTTGCTTGCTTGCTTGCTTCTTTTCTGCTTTCTAAATGTCTCTTCTCTCTAGTTCCCCATCTCCATGGGTCCTGCTCTACTCTCGTTCTCTTGACCAAGATCAGCATCCACCCCTTGCTGTTCTCCCAGGCTCTGTCTCACTCCCTCCAATGCTAGCTCCATGAGGGACCTTTCTAAACTGTACATGTGATTGTTCCTCTCTGCTTCACATCTTTCCATGACTCCCCAGTGCCCCAGAGACAAACTCTTCTGGTTTGCTCTTACATTATTTAGTCTCTGCTGACCTCTCTAGACTTTTCTCTCAACTTCTCCCACTGCACCCTGCCACTAGTCAGTGGAAATTTCATTATTTTCCCCAAATGCTGTTTTATCTCACCTCTGGGTGTTTGCATGCTCTGTCTTTCTACCCTGCACATTCCTCATCTTCACTGGTCACTGTTTCCCATACCCCTTTGAGTCAAATTCCTTCACAGGTCAGCTCAGATGTCCCTTTCTCCAGGAAGCCCCCATCCCTCCCAGGCTGGCTGAGGTATCCCACCTCCATTTCCCACCCCTACTCTGTTCCATTTCAGTGCTGACCATTTTGTCCCTTGGTGTCTGCTGACATCTGCCCCCCCATCCTGTGAATCCCATAGAGGCAGGGCTAAAGCTGGTCACTCACCATGCTATCCCCAGCATCACCGAACAGGGCCAGGTACAGAGCGGGCAGCTCACCTGACTGAGGCCCAGGTGTTTGCTGACATTCTCAGACAGGTAAGCCATGTCTCCCTCGGTGGTGAGCACCATGACGAAGCCCTCCAGGGCCTTCAGGTAGCAGGCATCCAGTGGTTCTCCCTTGGCTCCCACCTGGTTCCACTCACCTGGTACCCAGGGCAGGGGGATGGGGGTGTCACTCACCAGTCCTAGCCCCACCCTAGCTAGCTTCCCTCGGCCTTTCCCCACTCAGGGTCTTCCAGATACACCTTGGCTAGTAGGGCCGAGTGGTGGCCTGGAGTGCCAAGGAAAAGGGCAGGACCACTGAGCTTTCCCAAGGTACACAATTCTAAGGGGTGGGCCTCCTAGGAGGGCAGAACTCTAAGAAGATGGAATGCTCAGGGGTCAAAAATTCAAAGGGGTCAGGGCCAGGGTGAGGTTTGGAATCCTAGGGGTGAGGACAAGCCTCCCAGAATTCTTGGAGGGCAGGACCTTCTAGACGCAGAATTCTAACAAAGCAGGAACTCCCGGGGGTGGGCAGAATTCTATGGGGGCAAAGCCTCTCAGAAGGTAACATTCTATGGGGCAGGAAACTAGTGGGCAGTACCTGCCAGAGGGGATATTTCCTCTGTAATCAAATCTTTTCAAGGCCCTTGGCGCGCGCGCGCGCGCGCTCGTGTGTGTACTGGGTGGCCGAGCCTCATCGGTATTTATTGTAAGGGAACAGGGCCTTCCCCCAACATCTCCTAAGGGACCAAATCTAAGGCCGAGGGGCATTTCCAGAGGCGGGACCTCAAAAATGATAGACTATGGGGGCGGGACTTCGAAGAGCACCGGGCTCCGACTGGCCCAGCACTCGAGGAGGCGGGGCCTCGGCGGAGAGCGGGTTACAGGGAGGTGGGGCTCTGCGGGGAAGCCTCCCCAGGGGCGGGGCCTTGCCAGGCCGGGAATACCTGGGCGGCCCTCACCTGCGGCGCAGAGGCGGTGCATGCGCAGGTAGCTGATGGTGAGGCGCATGATGGAAGCCTTGTCCAGGTGGGCGCTGACGCCGCGCGCGAAGGGCAGCGTGTGCGCCAGCTGGTACAGCACCTCGGTCTCCTGGCTGCGCCGGCTGCGGGCCGCATCCCGGGACTTCTCCTTGCGCAGCTCCGTGCTCGACCTACGGGCATAGGCGGCGTTCACTAGCGGCGTCCCCCGAAGAGAAAGAAGTGGACGTGGACGGGACAGCCACTTGGGGTCCGCTGTGTGGCCCCGAAGAGTTCTTGGCACCCTCTGGGCCTGGAAGGTTACACACTCCGAAGCCCCTCCAAGCCCCAGATTTTACCTGTCTCGTTGGAAGCCCATGCTGCCCGCCTGGTGCCTTGCTCCTCTCCTAGGCGTGCCTGGGGCCTCTCTGTCCCCACCCTGACTTATCTGCAGTCTATTTCCCAAGCTAGGGACGCCCGGGGGACAGGGAGGCCTCCTGGTGGGAGGGGGCTGGCCGAGCTGGGCCCGGGCCAGAGGAGGGAGGGACCGTGAGATGCATGAGCCTCCCAGGCCTCTGGCCCTCCAGTCTCCCAGAGCCTCTCTTCTGCCCTTTTTCCTCCCTGCTGGGCCTAGTCCCCAGACTCCTGGAGCAGAGATATCTCAAAGTCTAAGGCCCCACCAAGAGGGGCCCTAAGAGGGGCAGGGCCCCAACAGAGTGACACAGCAAACCAACCCCTCTTCTGTCAACAGCCCTTCACCTCTGCCCTCCTCTTTAAATACCTGCATTTTGCGAGTGGGGTTGGGGTTGGGGTGCAGTGAGCACCATTTTATCAGAAACACCTGCCACGTGTCCAGTTTCACTACCATGCCAGCGCCTGTGCCCAGTGTGAATCCCATCTAACGCCCAGACAACCCTAGAATAACATCATTCCCATCGGACAGAGGGGGAAACTGAGGCAGAGAGGTACAGTGTTTGCCATAAACAGCAAAGTGCCTCATAAATAGCAAACACTTATCTGCCTGAACTCTTCAGTTTTCTGTCTTGTTGGCCCTGGGTCTATGTCCAGGTTTTGGTGCTTCACCCTGATTCTGCCAGTCTTCAAATTCAAATTCCAGGCTTGACTGAATCCAGAAGCAGCCCCACCTTGAGAGAAGGTCTTGCTCTGTAGTCCAGGCCAGCCCTGAACTCGCTGTGCAGCCCATGCTGGCCTCGACCCTCCTGCCTCAGCCTCTTGAATGGTGGGAGCTAATTTTTGTTTGTGAATAAAAAACTCCAGGGTATATTACATCTGGTATTGTATGTATAGTTGAATCTATATTTACAATATTCATAAAACCATTCCGAATAAGCAGCTCTGCTAAGCATTGTGGTCTGGCACTGTGGTGTGTTGTCTGCTTGTGTGCACACACGCATTCAATCGTCAGCGGAGCCCAAGAGAGTGGTACTTTAAACCTGCATTTTACAGAAGGGACAGTGAGTCCCTGGAGAGTTGAAGTCCTTTGCCCAAGAAGTCACAAAACCTTCCTGGCCCTCCTGGGATTTGAACCAGGTCAAGAAGGTTTCAGCCTCTTCTCTTTTTGGTTTTCTGAGACAGGGTCTCGCTATGTAGATCAGGCTGACCTTGAACTCACTATGTAGCCCAGGGTAGCCTCAAACTCCTAGCAATCCTCCTGCCTCAGCCTCCCACGTGCTAGGACTACAGGCATGTGGCATCATGCCTGGCTCTTCAGTCTTTTCTCGAATTCCCCTCCTTGTGACCCAGAGAAGTGGAATCTTGGGACGGGTGGCTGTACCTTCCTAAATTCAGGGGAGCAGAGGCCACCCTGGGGGTGACATCAGCACCATCCCCAGGCATGAGGGTACAAAGGAGATTTTAGTGGGGAAAGGACAGGAGGCCCAGTGGAGCAGGCTAGGTGGTGGGCAGAGGGGTAAGATATGGCCCCCATCCCCCCAAGGGGGGGGCAGAGGCCTCACTCCTGCCTGCCCCAAGGACATTTTGTCCAGTTCATTCTGTTCCAGCCCTGTTTGTCTTCCTGCCCAGAGGGTGGGGGTGGGCAGGCCGCATGGAGCTGGGGGCCAGACAGAGGGAACAGGGAGTGGGGAAAGGGATGGGGTGGGGCGGTGCCCCACCTCCCAGGCAGCTGGGCTCCTTAATCCCCTGGTGGCAGCCTCCTTCCTCCTGAGGGGCCAGCTGGTGGCTGCAGGGGGACCTTCCTTCCAGCTCCCAGCCTGTTCTCCGGATGTTCCAGGGGAAGTGTGGGCCTCTCTCGGGGTCTCTGCCTTTTTAAGCCTTTCCATTAAACAGAGTGGGGGCCAGTTCCTCTGGCTCAGGGTTCCAATCCCAACTCCGTTACCTATTAGCTGTGTGACTGGACACGTTTTGTAGCCTCCCTGGACATAGCAACAACACCCACTTTGTAGAGGGTGTTTTGTTCCGTTTTGGTTTGGGTTTTTGAGACAGGGTCTTGCTATGTAGTTCAGGCTGGCCTCAAATTTCTGGCGATCCTCTTGCCTCAGCCTTCTGAGTGTTGGGAATAGAGGTCTGGGCCACCACGCCTGGCTTCTAGAGGGTTTTGAAGATTAAATGAGTTAATATATGTCAAGGGCTTAGTAAACAAGGCTTGGCAACTGGTTAGTGCTAACTGCTCTCCCTCTCTGCAAGTCAGGGATGGAGGCTGGGGCTTAGGGGCCTCTTTGAACTGGAGTAACCTGTGGGCGTTGACGGTAAGTAACCGTGTGATGTGTGCGATTAGGTGTGTGTGCGATTCTGTGCATGGCTTTTACATAAACACCTTGGGAGGAGGACTACATACCAGTGACGGTAACAACAGCATTGGTATATGACACACTCACGGGGCTGGAGACCCCACTAAACCCTTACAAAAACCCTGGAAAGCTGGAGAAGTGATCTCCCTTGGAAAGAGGCAGAAAGCAAGGCTCTGAGCCACAGCTGAACCAGTCGAGGGCCCGGCTGGTAATCCCATCGCCCTCACCAACGCTTGGCTCAGCTCTGCTCTGCTGCTTTGGTTCATCCACCTCATACCCACTACTGCCTTCCCCGAGGAGGGAGAGAGGTGCTGGGATTGCCTGAGGCTGCAGTGGTCAGCAGCAGAGCCACATTTGTGTTTGCTTCCACCCAGAACCCTGACTCGGACTCAGTTTATCATGCACCTGTGCGTGAGCCTTCGGCCTATCTGTTGCTCGCTGGGTTCTCATCATGATTTGGGGTGGGGAGGGGAAGGTATGACTCCCATTTTCCAGGATACGAAGCTGGGGCTCCGAGAGGCAATTATTGGCACAAGGCCATGACGCCAGGAAGTTGGTGCACTGGGATTTGAACCTGACTTTCAGGCCTGTGCTCTTAAATGCCATGCCTCCATGGGTGAACGCCCTACTTCAGGACCCCTCCTTACTCCTCCTTGCCTAGTGGCCTAAATTCCTCCCCCGTCCCACTGCTGTGGCCTCTGGATCTTCCCGGCTGGCCCCATGCCCAGCCCTGCTCCAGCCCCTTGGCACTCTGCCCAGCTGGGGACGTGCGGCTGGAACCCTGCCACCCTTCCTCCGTGTTCCAGCCGAGAACAGGGGGTGGGGCCAGGAGGCCCCAGGGTGAGGCCTGGGAAGGGGTGCTGGGCCGCAGCACCCCACCACAACCAGGAGGGGGAAAAGCCCACTTCCTCCCTGCCCTGAAGAATCAGGACCCAAAAGCAAGGGCATGAAAGTAGGGAGCCCCTGCCCACATTTGGGGCTCCTTCTGGGCTCTCTGTTCTGAATTCTAGCTGGGTCTGGTGGTGAGGCTTGCAAAAAGTGTAGGGGACTTGGGGGGGGGGTTCATCTGGGCAGGGACCCTGCTTGGCACTGCCTAAAGGTGGCCTGAGAGGCAAGGGGCAGAGTTCAGGTTTTGGAAAGGACATGGGGTAGAGATCTGGAAAAGGCTCTCTGAAGCTGACTTGGTTCCCAAGGAGGTGGTAATCCAGTCGGGTGCCCATCCCCAAAGTCCTGTCTTCTCTGGGAGCCCTCTACCCTCAGTGGACACTCAGGGTGGGCTGCCCAGAACATCCCTGCTAGGGGCAGGATGGCTGCAAGCCTGAGCTGCCAGAAGGGAAAGGTCACAAGAATTCGGGGCCCACTCACCAAAGCCCAGGCCCCCTCTGGCTGAAGTGCCATCCTGGGGGCGCAGGAGGGGCCAGAGTGCAGCCCGGGATCTGGGTTCGAGTTATGAGTGGGTGGTGCAGTATCGTGGGATGACACCACGGGAAAGGGCTGGCCTCGGGTGGTGAGGGGGGAGCACCCCAGCTCAGCCAAGAGGGCCCTAACCCAGCCAGGAGGGGGCGCTGGGGGCAGGGCCAGGATTAGCCCAGAAGGATGGAGTTCCCTGGTGGGCCCAGAGCCAGGGATTGGAATAGAACTGGAGAGGGGGAGTGGGGTGGGGGGTGCTACAAAAACGGGGGTGTGGGTGGATTCAATCAGACCTGCCAAGCCAAGGCGGAGAGGAGGGGGTCAGGCTCACTGGACGCCTCAGATTGAGCAGGGAAAACCAAGGGCCTGGGGACTCTTTCTGGGGTCCCATGGCAACCTGGTCAGACAGGACCCCTGGCTGTGCTCCCAGAGCACAGGTTGTCTCTGCCCCCAGCAGATCTGCACCCGTTGAAAGGTGAACACAGAAACCCACCTCTGCCCAGGGTGACCCTGCTGAGCCCTGAGGCAGGGGACAGTCCCACCGCAGCCGGCGGGGTCACACTGGACCAGGCATGGCACCTCCCTGGAGGGTGCCCCCAAAATAAGGTTGGGTCGGTCCCCGTCCTTCAGCGACAGGATTGGGTCAGGGTTGCTGAGTGAGACACAGCCAGACTTTGGGAAGTAGGTCAAGCTTGCTTCCCTGTTATGGGGGGGGGGGCAACTTTTTAAAAGGATAAAAAAGACCCCATGGGAAGGGTCCCAGGCAGCTGCTAAAGGGGACCTTCTCTACCCATTTCTAGGGAAACCCAAAGTTTGGGAGATTATAGGAAGGGTCGAATTCAAGGCAGTCTCTCTTCTCTGGAACTCAGGACCTCAATCGCCAGAGGATTCCTTGTATCTCCATTTGGGGGTACCCTGTAGATCACAAGGGTCTGATGGCGAAGCGCAGCCTCAGTTCTGGGGCTCCGTAGGCCAGAAGGATCCGTATGTGGAGGGAGAAAGCTTCCCCTAAAGCCTGAGCACTGCTCAAATGCAAGCACCTCCAGTTCCCAGGGGACCTGGAGTTTCACCTCCCACAAGGCAGGGAAGCCAACTTGGGGTGGTAGGAAATCGGGGATCACAACCCCAAAGCCGCTCCTGACAAGAGGGGCGGGACAACAGGGGACTTGAGAAAATCCGCCACCCCTGCAGTCCCCTAGGGTAGAGGGTGCGGCGGGGATGTGCCCACAACCGCGCGCCTCAGGGCGGCCTAGGCTCGCACCCGCTCACTCCCAGTCCAGGTCAAGGGGCCCCCGGAAGAAGAGCCCCTCCAATGCCCATCATTCCCGTGCCCCAACTCCAGTACCTTGCCCGCTGCAGCCCCAGCGCCATGGCTCGCCCGTCTCCGCTCCGGAGCCCGAGGAGGCCACGAGCCCCCTCCCCTGGCCCTGCGAGCCCCCTCCCCAGCTCCGCCCCCGACACCTCATTGGCTGCGCGGAGCCCAGCCCGCAGCTCTGGTTCGACAAAGCGTCTGTCACTCCCAAGAAGGAGGCGGGACCAGAGGAGAAGCCTTGGAACACTGTGGAGGGGACAGTGTGTAGTACACACCCCCAACCACGCCCCTCGCCGCGGACTTCCTCAGCCTTGTGGCCCGCGCCGTCTGCGGCCGCGCTTTCTCTCGCTCAACCTCTGAACTTCAACAATACGGTCTGAACCACCCAGCTCGCTCTGTTCGCAGCGCCCCAGCCGCCACCTCCTCACCCCACCTCCACCTCACTCCGATATTTCCTACCCTGGCCCCGGGCCTCTCCGACCTCCCGTCCCCGCTTCCAATCTCTCAGCCTTGTTTGTCACCCGGTCCTTATTTCCCCACTGCACTCCCAGCTCCCAGCCCTACCCCAGTTCCACCATCCTCAACTTTCGCACCCTACCTGATCCCCCTTCTCCTCCCCATCCTCGGCACCCTGGTCCCTAGGCTTCTCTAACTCCCTTTTCACTTTCCCGCTGATGAATAATTAAGCGTCTGTCAAATAAATAGGCTTTAACTCAATCACACGCACTTTTAAAAGAAGCAAAGAAATGGTATTATTTTGCCAATCGAGTGACAAGGGCTATAAAGTCTAGGACAAGTGAAAACAGTATACTTGGGGAAGAAAGAGCACACGCATGTGTGTGTGTGTGCATGCATACACACATGTGTGCTAATCCACATGGACAGAGTCCAGTATTCTGGGTGCAGTTTCAGCAGGGAAGAGGTCACTATAGCAGATGTCTATAGTGTAGCAAAAGCAACCTTGTGGATCCATGGACTTTCCGTGCAAGCCCTACCACAGGGCCTTTGCACATGCTGTTCTCTCAGCTTAGTATGCTCTTTCCCCAGAAACTCACGTGGCTCCCCACTTGATCCTAGTATCCCACTTAGTATTCTTTTGGGATTTTTTTTTCTTTTTTTTGAGACAAGGTCTCACTATGAAGTTCAGGCTGGCCTTGAACTCACTATGTAGCCCAGGCTGGTCTTGAACTCACAGCAATCCTCCTGCCTCAGCCTCCTGAGTGTTAGGATTACAGGTGTGCACCACCAGGCCGGGCTTTTTTGGGGGAAATTAAATACACTCCTTTCTCAGTCTATTTCATTTGAATAGGGCTGGCTATCCCCTGCCCTCGACAACTCCAGAGAGCATAGTGGATTCAGACCTAGCTGGTTTATGGTTTCCCTGGTCACAGTAATTACTCAGGGGAGTCATGTGGCCGGTGAAACGTTTGCTGCAACTGTCAGGAGGGAGGTTTTCTATTTCTGCTGGAGTTGCCAATTTGGAACTGATGGGCCTCCCACTACTACAAAGATAGGAGAGGCTTTCTGAGCTGGAAGTCAACATGGAGAGAACAGAAATGAAAGATCAGGAAAGTCGGTCTTGACAGCACCCCTGACGTGTCTGGATCAGGCCACATCTGAACTCTGATCAGTTCAAAGTCACATGAACCATTAGGACGTTTTTTTCTTGGTTGTTGCAATTGTTTTATTTATTTATTTATTTTTATTTTATTTTTTTGAGACAGGGTCTCACTATGTAGTGCAGACTGATCATGAACTCACTATGTAGCCCAGGCTGGCCTCGAACTTGAGGATCATCCTGCTTCAGCCTCCCAAGTGCTGGGATCACAAGCATACACCACCACGCCTGGTGCAATTGTTTTAAAATATTGCTTTATTCATTTACTCTGTCCTGAGATTAGTTTGAGTGGATTTCAGCTGCTTGCAACCGCCCCCCCGCCATCTTGGTAAATAGAGAAATCGGCTCTCAATCCTTAGCATGGGGGAGGAAAACGTAGAGGCCTGCATTAGAAAGGCAGCAGGGGAGCAGTGTGCTTGGGACACAAAGCAGAAGAAATGTTCAAGGGAGACACTGAGGGGTGGTGGCTGGTCACAGGGTGAGGAGGGTTCTGGAGGTCGTGTTAGAAAGGTTCGGACAGGGGAAGGAATGGAAGCCTGACTTGGCCAAAAGAATGGATCCATTGATTTTGGGACCAGGAAGTCACAGCAGGTACCCAATCTGAGGGCTTCCTAGTGAGTGCCAAGGGAAGCTGGCAGGTGTTAAGCAAACATTAAAATAGAACCAAAACCATATATATATATATATATATATATATATATATATATATATATATATATATATCTATCTCAGGCATCTGTGATCTAGCTTAGCCTTAAACTTCACTAGGAGTTTCCTGGCAGCTGAGGCAATAAGGGGAATATGTTGAAATGATTTCCAAATTATACTAAAAGGATGTGTTCTTGTTTTAAGGAGGAATTTAAGGCTTCACTATTGTTGTTTTTCAGCACTGGGGATGGAATCCAGGATCTTGAGCACGCTAGGCATGTGCTCTACCTGTGCTGCATCTCCAGCCTGAGACCTTGTTATATTGAAAAGGAGAGGCACTGTGGGGCCTTAGCTGAGGGGCCTCACCCAGCCTGAGGGGTGGCCAGGGTTTCTGAGGAGGGGACACCAGAAGGAAGGCCTGGAGGATGCATAAGAGTGAGGCAGGGGAAGGAGAGGAGGGGCCGGGGGAAAGCACTCTAGGCAGAGGGAAGAGAGTAGTAGAACAGCGGGAGGTAAAGAGCGAGGCCTGTGTGCAGGAGCTAACAGTGGACAGACACAGTGGTGACTTGGAGCAGAGCGGAAGGGGAGGAGGTGGGTGCGGCCAGACCTAGTCTGCAGCCGTGAGAGAAGCTGCCAGAGCCGAGGCTGGGTTTTGAGCAGGGCAAGAACACAACGGGAAGCCCTCAAGCTTTCAAAGGACACTTCTTCGGGGAGAGCTGGGGAGGGAGAACGAGAAGCCTAGGGTGCAGATGTGGTGGAAAGAGGAGACCCTGGGCTGGCGCAGGCTGTGGAGTGAAGCGGGAAGGACAGACCGAAGAAATCCTGGGGTTCCTCGAGAGAGGGATGAGCGAACACATTGTGGTGCCCCCGATCCATGAGTGTGGTCATCAAGGAAAGGGAGCAAGCTCCTGATGCTTAGGCAACCTGATAATATCTCAAAAATATGATGAATGAAAGAAGTCAGGCATAAAAAAGTCCATGTTATGTGATTTCACGTCAGGCTAATGTATGGTGGAGAGAAAAGGTCAGGAGAGGAATTCTTTGTATTGATAAGGACTTTGGGTTATGCACGTATATGCATTGCTCAGAACTCCTAAATTTTTTTTTTATTTGGTACCGGGGATCGAACTCGGGACCTTGTGCTTGCCAGGCAGGTGCTCTAACCACTGAGCTAAATCCCCAGCCCCCAGAACTCTTAAATTTGTGAATGGCACTCTTTGGTACCGGAGATCGAACTCGGGTCCTTGTGCTTGCACAGCAAGCGGCGAAACCACTAAACTAAATCCCCAGCCCATGAATGCCACTCTGAAGATGTGTGTGTCTTGTCCCCTGTGACTTTTACCTTAAAATAGAAAACCAAGAAGAGTAAATAAACAACGAGTGTCAGGCTGAGAGACTTAGGGGCAGCATCCTGCTGCGTTTAAAGGTCACTGAAATGCAATAAAACAGTAAGCTGCAGCGGTGGGCAGACGGGCGATGGGTGGACAAACAGCTAGAAATGGAATAAAGCAAATGTGAAATATCAACATCTAGGTGACTGGTATAAGAGTGTTCACTGTCGAATCTTTCAACTTTTTTGTAAGTGTAAAGATGCTCCCGGTACAATGTTGGAAGAAACAAGAACTATTTAGGGCTGGGGATGTAGCTCAGTGGCGCCTGCCTGCCTGGCAAGCACAAGGTCCTGAGTTTGATCCCCAGTACCCAGAAAAAACAAACAAACAATTTAGGAGCCAAGAGGGTCATGGTTTGGAGAGTGAGTGGCCATTTGGATGATTTTGATAGGGCTGACTTTGGGTTGCCGGGATACAGTTTTTTTTAAAGTGTCCTCTGCCTTGGGCAAATGGAAGCCTTCATGTTTTCAAGGTGGGCTGGAGTCTTTGCCTCTCTTTCTCCTTTTCCTGTCCCCTGCATTTATGTATCTATTGGTGCATCCACCCACTAATCCTCCTACTCAGTTTTTCCAGTAAACACTCACAGTGTGGCAAACATATGTCCAGTGCTGTCACAGGCACTGGGGACTCAGGGGTGGACAAACCAGACAGAGTCCCCTCACCTGCTGTCATGAAACTTGCACTGTAACTGGGCAGGCCAAGCCTACACAAGAAATGTAAGGTCAGTACATGGTAGGGAATGTCATGGAGAAATGTAACCCTGCGAGGATGGGTGGTGATATTTGGAAAGGGGGCTCTGATTATTATTTTTATCATTATTATTAGTCCCATACTAGGGATTGAACCCAGGGCCTTTGCACTGAGCCACATACCTAGCCCTTTTTAAAAATGTTGAGACAAGGTCTCTCTCACTAAGTGGCCCAGGTCGAACTCAAACTTTTTTTTTTTTTTTTTTTTGGTACCAGGGATCGAACTCGGGACCTTGTGCTTGTGAGGCAGGCGGTGGAGCCACTGAGCTAAATCCCTGGCTCCTGGACTCAAACTTTTGCTCCTCCTGCCTCAGCCTCCCCACCACTGCTGGCTAGAAGCTGTGTCCTTTTCTGAGTGAGCCTTGGCCATCCCTTCCTTCTCGTTTTCTCCATCCAGGCAGCCAGCAAGCCCTGCCCAGCTTCAAGGAGCAGAACACAGACTCCTCTCTGGACGAGAGGCATGAGCTTCCAGAGGGAGGAGCACGTGAGATCAGAGGCTGCAGCGTGGCCTCCGTGTGGCCATCTCTCCTGCACACTCCTCCTGGGGGATGATAGCATGGAGCTCTGCCTATGAACTGCATCCTGGAAGGGAGCTGGGAGCAGTATTTACGGTACTGACAATAAATGCTTGTCTTGCTGGGTGTGGTGACACAGGCCTGTAATCCCAGCACCCTAGGAGGCTGAGGCAGGAGGATCGCCA